GTCCTGCCGGCGGAGCGGTATGCCCGCTGGGAGAGCAGTGCCGCCCCGGGCTCCCGGTGCGTTCTTTGGGCCTCTTCCCGCTCGGGGCGCTCCCCAGGTGGCACGGAAGCGAGCGGGCTTGTGCCGAGGCGTTCCTAGAGAACGACTTTCAGAGCGAACTGGAGGAGGGCTGTAGATGCTGAAGCTGTTTGGGATACTGACTGGTTTGGTTTGACTCAGTAGATAACTTTTCAGTTGCTGAACCCGTTTGGCTCCTTCCAGCCTATCATTACAATGCCACAGCTATCAATCATTGGAGCCTCCATGTTTCCATCCCCTGCTCTTTGTAGGTAGTTTTAAGCTTTTAACCCTAACTATCAGCACCTCATGGAAGAAACCAGATTACAGATAAGCGCAGCAGCCCTCAAAGCCGCACCCCTTGCTACTGTTGTAGCGCTAAAAGGGGATTTTATTTGGGCACATCCTGAGACTTAATGGGCTCTTCTCCCAGGTACTGGTGCGAGTGTTTTGAGCTCTTCCCAGTACGTAAGAAATGGGAGCCATTGGATCCATCTTCTGTAACATGGGCATCAATATCTGAGGGCGGCTTTCGCTATGGTCCACTTCTGCTGCCTACAAAAAGCTCTGGTGCTCCAGCCCAGTTTTAAGCTGCAATAGCTAAGCTTACTGGATTCACAGCTTTCTAACAAGGTAACACAGGATGTGCTGGGCACTGCGTAAAGTGTAGGGGAATTTTCTGCCCTTTATTCCTAGGGGGGAGAAGAGAGAGGGGAATGGGAAGCTTCCTTGTTCCAGAAACATTTTGGCTTCTCTGGAGCCTCCTGAGCTCCCAGTCTAGTTGAGTGATAGTCTGTCCTCTCTGCCTGCCTAGGAGGCAGGAGACTGAGCCATCCTGGAGGGCCACCATGGACATCCTACAGGACAGGGCAGTTCCCTGTGCTGCAAGGGAGAGATCTGACAGTGCATGTTTAACACATCTGTTATCTTCTACTTAGATTCTCCCAGTATTATGGATATTTCAATAACCTCAGAAGCAGAAGAGAAAAAACCAAACGTTAATAACGTGCCAGACTATATCAGCGATATCCATACGTACCTTAGGGAAATGGAGGTGAGCTGCTGTTGCTTTTTTTGTTTGCATACAGCTTATGGGGGAGAAAATGGGGGTTGAGAAACGTGTCTAAACATTAGTTACTACTACAGTGACTGAAGTAAAGCTTGCTAGAAAAAGAGAAACAGGATGCTGTGTCCACTGCTCTGAACGCAAGACCAGTTTCTTGTGATAAAGCTGACTGTGCCATGCACTGAACACAAGCTGGAAAGCCAGATTACGGAAATATAACTTATTGATCCTAGACTTAGTGTTGTTTGCTTCTGATCTGTTTAAACTGTGGTAAATGGAGCTTAAATAGCTGCTTCCCTGCTGGCACTTAGTCCAAATTCAATCTTATCTGTTATCTAAACCTACAGGTGAAATGCAAGCCCAAAATGGGTTACATGAAGAAGCAACCTGATATCACAAACAACATGCGGGCTATTCTTGTGGACTGGCTGGTGGAAGTTGGAGAAGAATACAAATTACAGAATGAAACCCTGCACTTAGCTGTAAATTACATTGATAGGTTTCTTTCTTCAATGTCTGTTTTGAGAGGAAAACTTCAGCTTGTGGGCACTGCAGCTATGCTGCTTGCATCGTAAGTGAAATTGCTGAATTTAAAATTCCACCTGCTGGTCTCATACAGATTGAAATCTTGTGGCTATCACATTTCTGTTGCCTATACTCAGATTGACTTGGGAGGGCTTTCACACTACAAGAAAAAATCTGGCGTTATCCACCTATAATCTTGGCAGTTTGTATGAACCTCTGCAAGGTTCTAGGCTATCTTTGTAGCTTGACCTAATGTAAAGATTCATTATTTCTAGCTGTGGTAGCAAAAGGCTTCTAAACAGGATCTGAAGGAATAGGCACAAGGCATGTGAAAAGAACGTTTTGCTTGCACCGATTATTAGTTTAGTGGGTTCTTCTGGAATTTCAGTGACTCTGGGTCCCAAGTTGCTTTGTGCTAAAATACCAGGCTATTAGCTCTCTAATTTCAAATTCTGCTGATTTAAAAGCTACTGAACCAAGTGAAGCAAACTTGATCAGTGACAGTGCCCGGTGACTTAGTAAGTCAGAATTTAAATTAACATGCTGCTTTTATTAAATGTTGCTGGTTATCTGGTTCTCTAGCATCCAATCATTTGCTCACAACTATTTCTCCTGGCAGGAAGTTTGAAGAAATCTACCCTCCTGAAGTAGCAGAGTTTGTCTACATCACAGATGACACGTATACCAAGAAGCAGGTTCTAAGGATGGAGCACTTAATTTTGAAGGTTTTGTCGTTTGACTTGGCAGCTCCAACAATCAACCAGTTCCTCACTCAGTATTTCCTACATCAGGAGACAAACGCTAAAGTGGAGAGCCTATCAATGGTAAGTAGGAATTACTAGCTCAGCCTGTGTAACTAGAGAGTTATCTTACTATTAATGCACTCTACAAGCTCTGTTTCCTGTTCTTAGTAGAAAAGAAAAGAAATGCTAAGGGATTCTTCAGCCCAAGCTTCCCTGCCTCCTCCTGTTTTCAAACATGTAGTCTCTCAGGGAGAGTTCTGGAGAGCACATACAGTATGACGTGTGCTCCTCCACAAGTAGTGCCGCACCGCTGGAAACTATCGCTCCTACTGCCACTCACTGTTGGAGATATGCCATTCCATTGCAGGCTGGCACCTGGCCTGGCTCAAGCACGCACACTTACTCGGAGCAGGCAGAGACTGATGATCTTTAATTTGGGGTTTGTTTGCTAGATGTTTCCCTCTTTCTTATCTAAAACTGCCATGCTTACCCACCCACTTTGGCTGAAAAAGACTTTTTTTTTGGTTTTCCCTTCAACAAGCAGTGAGCTTAGAGGCTAATTTTTAAAGGAGAGCACAGATAACATTTCAGCTAAAGTTCTATTAAATCCTAACTGTATGGCAGGCACCAGAGCTCCTAAATAGACGCCTTTGTCCTGTGCCAAGGTCAGACCTGACTACACTCTTCCCTCTAGATCTTACATTCCTCTAAATATGTGGTGTTGAAAAAGCATGGGTTGGGAACACTGTTTGACAGTAGCTAACAGCAGATGCTAAAAGAGAAAGTAAGTGGAAATTAATAAAAGCTGTTCCTCCAACTGATGGCAGGATTGGAAGCTTCAATTAGGGTTCTAGTGCAACTGTTAAATGCTTATCTGCTTCCCTTTGGAAGCAGATGATTTACTTTCTCTCGTTTCCCTTGCAGTACCTCGGGGAGCTGAGCCTAATCGATGCTGATCCTTACCTGAAATACTTGCCATCAGTCATTGCTGCTGCAGCATTTCTTCTAGCAGGCTATACGGTCACGGGACAAACTTGGGTACGCACCACTAAAACTTGAGCCTTCAGACACGTTTATGCGTCTGCAGTGTATTTGTACGCGGTTTCGAGTGCTGGGGCCTGGGCTGTAGGAGTCGCAGCCGCTCCGCACTCCTGGGCTGTTAATTTGGGATCACTTCCTACGGTATTTGAAAAATTGGGGGGACACGACACCTTTTCTTGGAAGGAAGAGGCATCTACAGATGCACTCTGTTCTGGTGATGTTCCTCAAAGCTGAAAGCAGCTTCCTTGTGGTAAGGAAGTGGGCTATATGAAAGCCTAAGCACTGGAGGCAAGGAATATTTGTGTAGAATATGATAGCTTTCAGGATTACCGTAAATTTACGTGAACAGGTAAAATCTGAGCAGTGAGTATTAAACTACTTTATGCTTAAGAAAAAGACACTCTGCCAACCTCAACCTATTAGAACAACACAGTTACAACAGGAAGCTAAAAACTCCACTGGTGGTCATCGGCATAAGCGAACAGAAATGTTCAAACATTCCTCTTCCTTTCCTTTTTCCCTCAGCCTGAATCCCTGTGCAAAGTAACAGGCTACGCCCTTGAAGACATCAAGCCTTGCCTCATGGACCTACACCAGACCTACCTCAAAGCAGCACAGCACACACAACAGTCCATAAGGGAAAAGTACAAGAGTACAAAGTGAGTATCTGCAGAGACATATGAGAAGCTGGTATGTTACGCCTGAGTTGTCCTGGCATGTGCCTGCTTAACGGGGTGGCTGGGAGGGTGTTTCTTGAGTCTGACAGAAGACTCACCAAATCCACCATGTAAGTGAAATGGTGACAAGACGCCTCAGGTTTTTCCACAATTATCTGCTTCCTTTTGGAAGCAGATGATTTACTTGAGCAATATTTCATGTTCGCCATCAGGCCTGCTATCACCTGAACTGTCAGGTAGAAACTGGAGGAATTTTCCTGACATTCCTACTGTTGGTAGGCAGGAGATGGTACCTAATTCACCTAAAAATCCGTGTTTGCATGGCAGCTGACAAGCCCCCAAGTGTTTCCTGCCTTATGAGAAATGTGCTTCGCTGCAGTTCTGTATGTTATCCTTTATGGGAGAGCACTTGAGCAAGATGACATCCTGCGTCTTTTCTTCCCTCTCTAGGTACCATGGAGTATCGCTTATTGACCCACCAGAGACACTAAACTTATTGTAATAATCAAGAGACTGATCTTTTAAAAAGATGTATATTGCAGGAAAATGATGTACAGTTTTAAACATGGTTCAAAACTCTAGATGTGATCACTCAAATATTAATACAGGTTTTGATGAGCTTAATTATGAAGTTAGTTTTATGTGGTTTTAATGTAAATCTTTTGTACATGCAATCTTGTTAAAATATTTAGCTGGGTTTTTATAAACATGTTCTCTTTAAGCACCGAATTAACCCTGCAGACCAAGTGAAGTCTGAGACTGCTTATCTAATTATAGACTAAACATTAATATTAGCAGTGCATTATTACGGTAGGGCTTTTTCTCTTTCCAAGTAGGAATGACTTGGACTCCACAGCAGTATTTGTAGCATTTTTATACTGTCTAGTTTAAACTGAGACTTAGTATAGCTCCAAAAAGTGGCTTAACGGCTATAATACTGGAAGGAACTGTATAGCTATGAGGAGAACGCCTTGCTGGGACTGACACTTGTGAGGCTCTGTAGGATGTGCCCGTTCCTGGAAGCCTTGATTGCTGTACAGTGTATTGCCAGATCTCCGTCAGGTTCAAGGTCGAATGCTCTGCTGCAGTGACTGCTCGGCTAGAACTAGTACACCAGTTCATACTTCTCTCTTCCAGTATGTAGAAAACTGTCTTGCCATAGGTATTTTCTAGTCAAAGTGTAAGACTGGTAATAATTTAAACCCATGGAGTTCCCACTGGTGTGTTAGCTGTCTTGAAAGCTCATCAATATCTAATTAAGAAAATCCTAGTCATCAGTCTGCTTGCCTAGTACCTCTTTAGGGGTGGTGGAGGGATTAAACTGCAGGAGGGTGAACTATTGCTCTGTGCCCTCAGGAGGGAACGTCTTCTGGCGTGGATGGTCTATGTGCAGGATGGTAGGCATTCTGCACATCCCTCCTGCTTGGAAAGGGTTCCTCTGGCACAGCAAAAGCGCAGACCAACAGGTCTTGTTTTTCCTTAGTTCTAGAACTGTTACAGGAGCAAACTAGCACCTAGTTGGTATTAGATCAAATGGACGTTTACCTTCAACCTGTGTAAATGGAGTGATGCTGCCCTGAACCTGCTGTTCTTTGCATGTGAAGCAGTGAGTGCATGGAGGTGGGTTTAATTAAGCCATTTCCAGGTTGGCTAATAAACAATTTTTACATTTGATTCTAGTGGTCTTGCCAATACCTTAAAACCACTGAGGGGTAGTACTGCCATCTTAAACTGGCATTCATTTCCAAAGCCTTTCGGCAAGGTCTGCCCTGTGAAACCTGGGCCACCTTGACTTGAAGTTGGCTCTGCACTGTCTGTCTGGTTATCTGGACACCCAGCAGGTAGCAGTATAAATTCTTTGCAGATGTCAAACAGCTGTTACGGTGTGGGCTATTTAAGATAAACTTTTAAAAAACCATCAGCCCTCTGTCAAGCTGCCAAGCACATGTTATAGTGAGGCAACTGCTGTCTTGACTCAGTAACTAAAAACCTGCTGTCTTGCCCCCACGCCTGCTCTGCAGTCTGAGCCCTCCGCGAACCATGTCAGTGACAAAACTGATCAGGTCGAGAGAGAAGTGTGCAGCAGAGGCTGCCTTTTTTTGGCCAATCTGAGCTTTTTAGGATGCACTTTTATACATATTCTAATGTTTAATGAAGAAGTGTATTTCATTGGTCTACCATGTTCTCCAACAGCCTTTATTTAGCTTCGTTTCAGTAGGCTGCCACTGAAAAGCTAGAACTAGTTGGGGAAAACTCTGCACAGTGGATCATGTCTGGTGCTTCATATCAGAAATGCCCTAACCTTGCAGGAGAGGGAGTCTGTATATACAGGAACATGTTTGCTGCAGTTGCAACCTCAGTTTGTGACCCTGGAAGGGCAACTCAAAATGCTGACTGGCAATTAATTCTCTGGAGACAACAGAGCACAGTGCTCTTCCTGAGAAACAGGCTTCTGCCTTCCGCTTCTTTGTGGCCTATGCTGGAAACTTTACAAGATGACTGAGAAATATGAACGTTAGAGGAGGAGCAATTTAAAAGAAGCTTAGGAATTATTTTCCCCAGAAAAGAGCCAAGTAGCAGTACTTATATGAAAGGACTTCAGTGGCTTGGAGTATTAATTTACTTAATGAAACGTCTCCTTGCTGTTTTCAAGGGCAGTTGTTCTGTTACTGTTCCCATAGCACACAGAAAAATTTCCCATTGCTCTCCCTGAGCTTTATTTTTAAAATACTGATATGTCTTCCTCCACAGCCTAAAAAAATGCTTCAGTCATGGACTGGCATCTCTGCCCAGTATGACTATGTTCCTCCCTCCTCACCAACAGCTCCTGCTAGTGCAATAACTACCGTGGTTTTTTCTATCGTCTCATTTTCTGAAGTTAATACGGGACGATTCTGGCTCTTGCTACTCAGCTTTGAACAAAATATCCCAAGTTGTACTGTACTACTGGTTTGCCTCTCCAGTTTAAACTTCTAGTCCTTTCAAAAGACAGCCTCTAAGGAATGTAGGGTAGGAGATGTTATGTGTGAAGAAACAGCAGTGCCAAGAATACTGTGCTTTTTCCTGAAGAAGTTTAAGGTCTTGTGGTACTGCAGAAGTAAGAAGAAACTGAATCTTCACTCATTCTTGTACTCCCGACAGTGACTTTGGGTTGGAAGAACTGACACTAAGAAAACACACTGGTTTAGCTCCTGGAGGAATGGGGCTTTCTGTGTAGATCCCTTGATTAAAGATTTGCCTGGCTGGCAGCAATTTTTTTATTTTACATTAAATTCCAAACCTGATTTGGGGAATATTATGTCTGTAACAGTAACTTCCCTCCTGTTCATATTTCACAAAATACTAAGGTCACATGTAAAATAGTCCTACTTTGCTCTTGTAAATATGTCCATGTTTCCACTTTGACTTGGTTTTCAAGCAAAACAGCTAGGTCAGATATTTTGGAAACTTCCTCCTCTCTTTGCTTTGCCCAATTCTAAGCTCAGAGCGTAACTCTGAATATAGTTCAAGAAGCATTCCTGTCTGCTGCATGTAATATTTAATTAAACTTTTTAAGAAACTCCATTGCTGAAGTATGAGTTGCTTCTCTATGAAAGTTTTGCATAAGCTCTATGCTATTTTAAGTGCATGCATTTCTGTCGATTTTTATACAAAGCTGTTTCAGTGAAAGGTAAGATGTGAAGTGAGATGGGCAAGAAGGTCTTAGTCACAGCACGCCATCTCCCCCACTGCGAAGAACATCCCAAAGTATGAAACACTTCCACGGTGTGGCAATAGCTACCTTAATTAAAAGCAGCTTTTCCTGGCATTAAACTTGAGCCATAATACCTCTTCCCATCTAAACTCTGACTGTGCACAGCTCACTTCAGCAACAGCAGAGGCTGTTTTGTTAAGAAAACTGTGCACCCTACTTCTGCAGTTGAAGTTGAAGAACTTGAGTCAGTTCAAGTTGAACTAGTGAGTTCTCCGCTGCAGCTGGATGCTAACCATGGAATTGTACTTACATGCAAATTTTTTTTTATTTAAAGCTGTGTACAATAGTTTTATAAAATATACATAAAAGCAGGACCAGATATGGGGTGGGAAGAAATAAAATTATCTACAAAAATAGGTTCAGTAACGATAGACTGAATCATGTCTTATACAGCATTTCTGAAGGAGGGATGATGGCTTTAACGAGCAGCTCTCTTCTTTTTTCTCCTTTTGGTAAATGCTTTCTTACTTGTATTTTCTTGGTTTGAGTTGGTCTGTGTTCTGTGAGCAAACAACATTGTATCAAAGAAGTGTACTGAATAGTTTTATTTCAAAGAACACAGGCTGATCATCCAGACCAGGGCAACCATCCACCACGCTCCGTGCAAAGTTCAGTCTTAGCTTCTAGGAAGCGTACTACACACGACAACGGAGTTTCCATGACTAGTGTAAGGACACAGCAATAAATCTCACTTCTTGGCATAAAACTGAAGATTTGCTGCAGTGTAGCATGTCGACTCTGCAGCATCTCTAAGGAGCAGCTGAATTAAATCCACTTTGATGCTATGGCTCCCTTTGGAATGATGATTAGTTAAATAACTATTTCAAACAGCTGCAGGTCAGCCAAGATGACCAGCCCCCTAGGTCAGGAGCAAACTAGCCTAGATTTAAACTTCCTCACTTTGTTATCTATGCAGTCCCCTTGAACAATCAAGACCTTTCTTGGCCTTGCCGAAATCCTGTGCTTTCTGAAAATACTCCTTACGAACTCCTTTCCTCTCCCAGTTTCACAAAATGGTTACCTTGTTTTCTTCGGTAGTTCCTGTGGTTCCAGAATGACAACTTCTTCCTCTTCACTGTCAGACAGCACAATGGGTTCATCTAAACAAACAAAAAAAACACAAACTGGTGACCAGTTTTCTACAAACAACTTCTGTAACTAATAACCACAGCATTTTTTAAAGAAACATTCAGAATGGCTAATGCTTAGTTTGGAGCCCTCCGTACACTACAGAAATCAAGTTTTCTTTTGAAGAAAAAGGAAGCGACCAGGTGAAGTGAAAGTAGCAATGGGTTTAACTCTCAAGTGGGAAGTGGCTATGATGAGTCTCCTGTCTTGCTAAGGACCTGTCTCACATTTTAATTCTAGATTGTTAAAGTGATATAATCAGCATATCAGATATGAAGATAAAGAAATACTTACCCTTCTTAGTTTCTCTCATTGTACTTGTATCCTCAGTTTCCACTTTCTGACATTCAAAAACAGTAACCTCACTTTCACCTTCCTCTTCTGCTGCTTCTTCCTGCTCAGATTCTTCAAGGTCCTCCCAGGAGTTCTCTATTCCTTCCCCAATTTGGGCTGTCCCGGGTGTGTGCAATATTGGTTTGGCAAAACTGAAGTAGTTAAGAAAAATCTTGCTGTTTGCTGGGGAACTCTTCGTATTCTGACAGCAAACCAGTTGGTTTTTTAACCTGTATCTTTTCTCCCCAGGGGAGAACATACTTGGAGGGGAGTTGAGAGTACTACTTCTCCAGTTACTGTAACAATCAGTAACTTCAGATCTCAGTTTTGCACTTCACCCTAGGAATTAAGTTACCTAAAAGCAGTTAGAACCCAAACCAGTATGATGTTGATGTTTCCTCTGAAGGCTGCAGGGCTACCTAAGCTGTGGGGAATCTTAGGGGTGTGTTTAGCTTCTAGCAGTGCTAACGCAGGGGATGGGAAGCCTGGTTCTCCTGACTACTACAACGGAAAAGATACACTTCTGAAGGAGGGTCAGCTTTAGTGATGATTTCTTCTGCTTGTTCTTCCACATTGTTAGTATCAACAGCAGCACTTTCCATTTTGAAGGTGGTGATCTTTTGATTCGGTATAGATTCTGCAAAGCCGAACTTGCCACCTTCTTTCCTAGTCATTCAGTGACAGACATTATTTCAGGACATTTCACACTTACTTAAAAATGCTTTCTCAAGTCCAACTATATAAATACTTGCTATTTAAAACAAACGCAAGTGAAAATAA